TCTTTTATTCAAATGGTACCTTCTCATAGTATACTTATTCCTTCTTTTTATAAGTACTAACTTCTCTGTAGTAATTATTTTTTAATACATATTAGAATCTATTGCTTGTCGTATAAACGATAAATTATTAAAAATTTCTGGAATTACTAGTTTGAAATTGTGGTACTCAATACATGTATAACATTCACTTACTCTTGAAATATTATTGAATGTATATTTATATGTGTCATCTTGTGTTGCAATTGCAACTTTAAAGTTTTTTATTTAAATGCATTATTTAAATGTCCACATTATCAATAACAACAGTGTTTTTCATAAAAATAAATATTATCGAATTATTCCTTAGACCAATCTTTTCTTAAAACATGTATGAAAATTAATAAGTTGCGTTTCAAAACTTGAAAGACACTGTAAGCAGCATCTCATGCATGACAAATTATCGTACCAAAGTTGTTTGGTATTATATTTATACAGATAATTATAAATTCTATGTTATTATTCATTTGTACACAAAACATGTTTTATATATTGTCATCTGTAATATATTATTAAAATGTTTTCATTTTTTTTCCTATTAATTCACCATAGAAATAATATATATCGAAATAAATATTTAGTGTACTAAAATGGTATTTTCAAATATGTATTTTACAGGTATACTGCGGTACAAAGTGGACTTTCAGAGTATGCAGTTGGAAGATGTTGAAGTTGATAGTTTTGACCTGGATGACTATTAAACCTGTGACACAACAGACAGTTCTTTTAGCTTCAGAGGAAAACATAAGTATATGTTCTCCCTTGCATCATATTCAAGAGAGACATATAGAAGGACATGTTTATAAAATTATCATATGATGCAACACATACACAGACACACATACATACACACGTGCACAAATACACAGAAATACACGTGCAAACAAAAAGGAACACTTAAAAAAACACGTATACATCATGAAATTATTCATTAGAATTCATTCAAGCAATCAATACACAAAAGTGAGAAGCACAAGATGTGGCGCGCCGATAATCCATGTCCATGAAGAAAAAAAAGGCAACTCGAAGACTGTGACACTTAATTAAGCCAGCTTGATACCTGCCTATTCTCACACAACATTACCTTGTATTACAATTATAGTCTTTAATTATTCACATGGATTTATTTAAATAATTACACGCGCTACAGTGCTGAATATGTTTGTACAGTACATAATTTGAGACATCATAATTTTATATAAAATTGATGTTTGTCATCTTATTGTGAATTTTAGGGTGAAAAAAAGAAAGAGTACTCTAACGGCATGAAGATGTAGCGTTATTTTTGTTCAGACACAATCATAAATAAGCTGTAATAAATGATTATTATAAACTTGAAGTTGCGTATCGTGCATTCTATACCGATTACTAAATTCATATGAATAATGAAGAGTTCTGTACATAGACTTAAATTTTTAATGGCACTGTTGCCTTAGACATAAGTTAAGATCGTGTAATATCCCGGGAAAATAAAACCTTTCCGTCTCATCGAGTGATACACATATATAAACATAAGAGATAATTTTCGTAATCTATATTAACTTCGCTGGCTCTCAACTCATATTTTGTACACTCACAAATGTATATAACAGATGCTTCGCATGTGTATCAAGATATCTTTTTTGATTGTTACAAACGGTGCACTCCATTAGTAAAAAAAAAGTATCTTCTGCAATATTTAAGTGGCAGTTACTGAAAAGGAAAAAAAACAGGAAATGTTACAAAATTATTTTAACATTGTTAATTTAACCGGCTTATTCATATGATGCCTTTGTAATAAACAATAATATGTATGTATAAATGTGAGAAGAATGAAACGTGCAATTTTGGTGAAGTATCTTTTATGAAATATCGCTATATAATATAAAAAAAGGTTCTCGTGAATGTTGTGAAATCCTTTGGTGAAGATAATGTATTGTTAATTGATAGTATAATTAGATTATTTATACTATTTCACCGTATGTGATGCAGGGGGCAAAGCTTTATGAAAATTTCATCAAAATAGAACGTTCAGAAAAAGATGATCCGGCTTATGGTATGTGCACAACGAATTCCGAATTATTGTTTAAAAGTATTGTATCTGTGTATTGTCTTTATGAAACTGATGTGTTAAATGTCGGCTTAATGTTTCCTTAAATTTTTATATGTAAACATTCTTTCAATAGGTATCTAGATAATTATTTATTACTATGTCGGTGCGATTATTTCTTCTGCTTAGCAGAAGTTTGTTTTAAGTATGCAAGTCCTAGTTCTGTAAGAACACGATAAACACTTGAGAGAGACTAGGAAAAGCCGTGTAATCTTTGCAATCATGTTTTATTCTTGTTTGTCTTGAGACGTCGTCCATACATCTTATTTAAACGTGTCAATGACGTACTTAGATTATGGCTTACCTATGATCTCTTCCATAAGCATAGTTGTATAATATGCTAACAAACTTTTAAGTTTTTTTTGGCAGTTTATATTCTCACGTATTGCACTACTAAAATACTTTTGTTTCTTTCAGAAAATACTTTATATCTGACAGGGCAATACAAAGATGTAATCGTAATAAGATTTTGATTAATCAAACTTTTTAAAGTACGGATTTCATACCTCATATTTCGTATGTATCATACGCGTAAAACACACGTGAGCTGTGTTCTGCAGTTTTAAACTCGTTTTCACAGGATTGAATACGAAGAATATACTGTAGAATTATGGATTTCAAGTTTAACGATTAGGAGTTGGCTGTACCTTGAGATTCTCGTTCTATTGAAAACAATGTTCTGTGAAGTGATAAAGAGGGATATTGAAATAATGATTTATATGATTATAAAATATTTTATGAAGCATAGAAAGTTCATATAAAAATTCTTGTTATAAAGATGGAAGAATATATACTATTAATTGACCTATATAATTGCGCGTATTTAACAGTTTTGCTTTTATTTTTGTTTTAAAATTTCCTTAACAAAGTAGCATCGATAAATTTGTTTAAACTATATACAATTAAGAATGATATTAGGATGCTACCTAGTGATTGAACATTATTTCGAATCCCCTTTTTCTCACATGCGCATTGCTTAAAATTTATACAAAAGAAAAATGAACATGTCGTTGATATCAAAGTTTAATTAGCATCTGAATAGAATTAAATATGAAGAATAAGGAATAAGTGAAAAATACAATCTATGTTTCTCATGCAAATAAGTTGCTATTAGGGCCCGGAAATATACGGAACGTATGCTCCCACGGAGCATTTTAAAAATAGTTATAAATGTTTAATATATATATATATATACAAATATATATAATATATATAAATATAAATATATAGAACTCGAATAAATAATAATGGTGATATAAATTGATAAAATAGATGATAACAGTATTTAGTGTGATTACTCCGTGATGGATTTGTGATGAACGATATTTCCAGGCTCCAATTATAACAATTCTCTTCACACTTGCAATTTTATTAATGTTTTCCCTCTTTACACATATAAGTAAATTTCGGTTACGTATAATATAATAGGAAGGATGTGTCTTTAATTATTGGGAAAACATTTTTACCTACATAACGAAGTGCTGTTGAATAGAAAACTGCCCTTTTCAGTCTATTATCAAACCTGATTCTTATGAGTAAAAAAGGATACTGGCATAATAATAATAAAAAGAAGTTACACAGTGGGACACATTTTATACCATTTTTACACCTGGTTGTTATATTTAGATATTTTTATTTGGTATGTACATTTAGGAAGACACTTGGATATATTTATTCCTTTATTTGAAGAATAATATTAGTTTTATAAAGATATAAAATAACATTCATAACAGATATATATTTGAGATTTTTTTATATTTGTATATATCATAAATTGAAGAAAATATTTATATTAAGGACAATAAAAATGGAGTTATCTGTACTTACAATATATGGTATAAAAGTTCGATAAAGATTTAGAAAATAGTCAGTCAAATATGATTAATATTTTAGAAAGTTGAATTTATTATATATAACATGATATTATTCGTTATTTTTGTCTCCAACCAAGAGATTAAGATTGGCATCTTTAGCTCCTGAACCTAGATATGTTTCTTCGTCACCACGTATAGATAATGGAATAACATGAACATTTGTTTTTCTTTCATCCATCATTGCAGCTTTTATCCAATTTGAATTGCTGCATTTTATACAACTATGCGAAGGTATTCTATCTAAGCTTACAGTTCTATTACCACAATCTGAACACTTAAAGAATCTTTTCACTGCATCGGTAACACGCAATGGATGATTCTGCTCTTTACACATTTCAGAAGCGGAAAATGATGTGTATTTACATACTAAACATCTAACAGCTTTACAAGGTACTTTATAAGTAGTTAACATTTTTTCCTCCATTTTTTCTTTCATTTCTAACTTATTAAAGTACTTTTCTTTTTCTTCTTCATAAGACTTTTCAATAAGGTCAGTGTGAGCAGATTTAGCTTGCAATATTTCTTTAAATTTGTCTGATAGCGCATTTGGTCTTTTCGTTTCATGTTCATCGCAACTTTCTGATTCTCTTGGTCGTTTCTTTCCTTTTTCTATTTTCTCTTCTTTATTTAATCGTGTTTTATTAGGATCCTTAGCCTTAATTTTTCCATTTTCTTGAACCCATTTAATCGCATTACTTTTTGCTACGTTAATTTGTCTTTTAGTTATAGGTTGTGACAAGTCTATTGTTCCTCCAAGGCAACCAGCACCTAATCGTGGATTTGAAGGAGAATGTGAAAGCATGCTCAAATCTTTTTTTTCCATATGATTCAGTTTACCAGCATTCATCTTTAATAAAGTAGATGATATTTGTATAGGTTTCTCAGTAGGTAATTGAGATTGTATAGCAGCTTTCCAACCCCTTGATCTACTTATTTCTTCAAAACTCCTCTTTGTGTCTTGCTCTGGTGACTCTACCATTCTGCATTTTAGACTGTCCACTAATTTTGTATCAGAGCTTAGAATCTTCTGACTACCTGAAAGTAATGCTAAACGCTTAGCATCTTTCTCTTCTAACTGTTTATTCTTTACCGCAACAACAGCATGAAACTCTGGCATATTGTTATTATTATTAAGTGGTTTTTTTTGTTGTTTCTTATTTTTTAGCATGTCTACTGAAAATTTCTGTGTATTAGAACATGCTTGAAGTTCTGCTCTACGAGAACACTTCTTGTATTCTTGTTGAACATGGTACACACAAAATTCACAACGACTAGTGTTTACTATTGCATTACATGGTTCACCATTTTTTTTTACCGATCTACATTTTCCTAAATCCTTAGATTTACCAAAAATCATAATTCTTTGAGGATTGTCGACAGATAACGTGGCTAAATCAGTATTATCTTTTGATTCTAAGATATTGGGATTAAGAATACCTATCACAGTTCCAACAGTAGTTTTCCAAAATGTTTTGTGCGCATTACTGAACATAAAAACACATACTGTATTGATATTTTCAGATAAATCACTTATTTTCCATATGGAATACGAGCTCCCTTTTTGAGTAGTCTTTGTTGGAGATTTACTTACTAGTACTCCTGCAATTACCCAATTACTCTCTGTTTTCCCTAAGTTAATATGAAGTTTAATTTTTGATACTGTTACTGGTACTTTGCCATCCATATGTGTTTTTAACTCTGCAGAAGACACAAGTGGAGTAACAATTCTCAATCCAAAAAATGGATCACAATAAATATCTTTTGATACAATAGTATTGTTATTACTTGTTGTATTTACATTTGTACTACGTTTTACAGCACCGAAGTCAAATGTTTTAGAATTTGCTTTACAAGGTGCCAACTCATTTTCGTTTTCCTTAATACTTTCTTTCTTTAACAAGGATTTTATATCACGTCCATAATTAGAATATTTTTGTTCTTCAAAATGACGCCTATCTTCATCATCCGAAGAATCAAGATTTTCATCATAAACTTCACTTTTGTTTTTCAGATTAACAGATTTATTTTTATTACTTATCTCAGAAGTACTATCTAAAAAATTAAAGTCTAATTCTTTCAATGTTTGAACTTTTGGTTGTGGTGGCAGTGGTGGTGGTGGTACTTTCTCATTTTCTTCCGTATCACTATTAACTAACAAATCACATAAAAGATCTAAGTTAGGATTATTGTCAAGATTGCTGTCACTGTCCATTTTAAATTCCTGAAAATAAATTATACACAACATAACTATTTTGAAATTAATTTTTTAACAAAACAGTTTATTAACTTTGGTAAATTATACTTACAAAATTAAAACTTATGACGTAAGGAAAATATAATACTGAGTAAATAAAATTAAAAAATGTTATTAATCAACTTAGTATGTCATTTTGTGTACCTTCCCAGTGAGTATTTACCAAGTCACTCTCAACCTATACAAGTGGCATGGTTTAGTCATTTTCCCGCCTTTTCTCCTCGGAGGAAGTCACGTTTTCATTAACGTAGGTGTAATTTTAGTTATATTAATTTGTTTATTTACAGATATATATAATACTACAATCTTGTTATAAAAATAAAAATTTGTACTTCGCTATGAGATATTAATGATATATAATTTTCGAATAATTACTTTTGTATTTCTTAACTGGACAATATATAAGTAACCAATAGGATGAAGTATTCGATGCTGCTGTATATGCAATTCAATATCTGTATATATAGAAAAGAAAATAGACTATACATGTAAATTTAATAATTTAAAGACTGTCAATTAAATTTAACATACAAGTATTTAAAAGTATTGAAAAATAAAAATGGTATGCTATAGATGAAAATAATTTGACGTTACTGTTAAAGGTTAAATAAACGTATGTATATTTGTATTCCAAATAAATGATATGTATACAATTAATTGACCTTATATTATTGAAATAAACATTTTCGATGGAACGGAAAATTAACAACTAAAAATTGATACGACGACACTATTCATGATTTATAACTCGAGGTGAAATAACAAGTGGAATTATTTTCATTATTTTAATTTTATAAATTACTTGATATTGATGAAACTTGAACAATTCGGGAACATAATTTTTAGAGTCGAAATATTCTGAATTTAATATTCATTTAATAATCTTAATATTATTACGTGTAAAATTATTAGAAAAAAGCTATGTATGTCGTGAACTTTAATAAACTTTCTACGTTGGTGATTGGTTCTCACCAACATGTACCTTGAAAATCGACCAGCTTATAAAATATTTACTGTGAATGTTGCAAACGGTCTAACGGAGAAGTCGGAATGACGTCCGCAGTGGATAACGTAGTACCGAAAGTTTTGTGTAGATGGATTCGCGACGCATTTCTTATTCTTTCTTTGATTTATGAAGGTGGGTATATCGTAGAACATCCGTCTTGCTATTCTGCGGTTGCTTTTACTTTGTTCATCTTGTAAAATGTCGAATAAAATTCTACAAAACATTAAAAAAACAAATAAATGAAATCTGTTACCTGCAACCTTCCTTATACACGACTAAGTAGATATCACAGAATTTTCCGCAATTTCAATTTTTCATCAACAGAGCTGAATTCATATCTCCACTAGAATCTTGAAAGTTCAATTTTCGTTAAAATATACAAGGGGAGTCAAAGGAATCTTCGATTTTCGAGAAAAGAATTGTAAATTAAAAGCAACGAAATAAAAGCCTACAGAGTTGCTTCCTGAAAAATTTAAGTCACTGCATTTACTTGGAAAAATTTATCAATAAAATATACCTATACATTCAAATATATGTTTCAAATTATAAGTCCTGTTCCTCTGCGCTACCGAATAAAGTCGCTCTCCATCAAAAGAATATTTCATCTCGATTGCACGTTTTTACGCGTAACAGTTCCGCTTCTCCTCTGCATCTCCATTTTTTTTCATCTTCTCTCTCCGATGGAGGAAAGAGTCAACTGTCGGACAAAATTAATGGAAAACAGTCGGTGTGTTTTGAAAAGCTGTGTAAGCTCGGGGCGCGTGTATCCCCGGCATGCACGGATTATCGAGCGAAATGAATAGCACGGTACGCGCGCGTTCTCTTGAAATTTGTGCCGCAGTAATCATGGCGTGCAAGTCATTTCATATTCTTTACGTAAGCGCCTATCTGTTGAAGTAGTTGGCTTTAATTGCGATATTCTTGTGCCTTGTACTTCGGAGGTTGCACGAAGTGTTCCGGAGCGTTTACCGGGACGAGCATGAGGCAACGAGTGGGAAAACAGAAGCAGAAAAAAGAGACAGTACCTACACGGTAGGTAATTATGAATAATACAAGGATTAATGGGATACTTTAAGGGCAAACGTTCGAAGAAAATCCACGGGGTGGTAGTTTCGGTGTTTTCAGCGCGAGTATATATTGTTACACCGCTCGCTGCCGTGGTGCCCGTCGATCGATTCGAGCAATAAGCCATCAATAAAACATCCTCTTGGCAGCTACACCTTGCTGTCTATCCAACTTACAGCACGCATCCGCGCTTACCTTCTATATCCGCTATTTTAACTATTCTCTGAGCGGAAAATTTCCCTTCGCAAAGAAAAATCGTTCCTCTTTAATATGTAAGTTTCGCGGCAGAATGTTGGTCTCCGCATCGATCCCTTAAGTAACTAAGCAAATTGCATCGGTTAGCATATTTATTATTTAAATTCATTGCGTTCTTTTTTTTTACACTGAAAGTGGATCGCGTTTTCAATGACCTCTCTAGCGTTGAAACGCTGATGTAAAGAAAGGCAATGGCAATTACCTATGAAGAGTGTATTACTTAAATCGAGAACGTTTCTGGGAATAGATCTATAAACTCTTCTTCAGTGAATCTTCGTTAGTCGTATGTCTAAGGACGTCCCTTGAAAATTTTATTACGAAAAGTTAGGTATTTTGCGATTCAGATATAAAAATGTATTAGACAAATGAAAATGAAAACTTCTGACACGATTTACTCGTTTCGTGGTTTTAGCTTGTGGGCATTGTTTTTAGGAAGATCCTCGATTGTTTTTATTTAGTGTTACAGGATACGAAAAGAAAAAGAAGATGCTTTTGAAGAATGCTTGACGCTAGTCCGTCCATCTGCTTTCTAAGGGAAGGCAGTTTCTCCGGACTCGGTTCGAAATAATCCGCGTCGCAGCCTAGCACAGTAGCATCCTCCACCTGCTAATCTCAAGGAAAGCTGCACGTTCCGAACGGCTTCCACCTGTTAGTCACGGGGAAAGCGTATGGTTACGAAGCGGTATGGTTTTTCGAGCAGAACGAAGCAACACATAGCTCTCTCTTTTTTTCCCTTACACGGCGGAGGGTTCGATACCATCTGCACCCTGCGGAAAATGCAGATGTCCGAATAAAAATAGGCCCGCCAGCGCATTTTCACTTTAGAAATGGTTACACGTCGGTGTTTCGTCACGCGATCGAGTTTTGTTAGAAATTTTTAATACGGGAACACGGTTTGATACTCTTTCTATTTGTTTCGACGCACACGCTGAAAGGGAAATAAATGACGTGTTCGTCGTAACACGCCATTCTTGCATACACTGATCGTCGATAGTGGCAACTGGACTGCAGATATTATATGTTTATAATGGACGCGGTATCTAAAGCTTAATATAGTGAAAAGATTACTTTGGTTTGACAAGGTTTTTATTTTATTTTGATTTTAATGTGTACAGTAGTTACTTATAATATAACATTATGCATTGTATAGCTATAATTAACTTATTATTATTATGATCAGTATGTATTGTGTTTTGGCTTCAGGAGGTTTTTGATTTTGCGCACCGTACATGTTATACGTTATCTATTTTATATGGACTTTGTGTATCTATATTACAATGAACAACAAATAAAGCTAATAATAAAGAAGCAAATCTTGCGACTTTCATGAATAAGTTACGTTACTAAATGTACATTCATACATTTATTTCTGAAACAGTTTCGATCGAGATAAGATTTTCCAATTTGCTGACATAATTTCGTTATCTAATAAGATTACCTTACATCATCGCTACGTTACAGATTTTAAAAAATGAATAATTTCTTGCCCGCGACTGCGCAGATCTCGACGCACGAATATTTGAAAATTCGCCGTTGCGAGTAAGAGGATCCGCCAAGTTGAACATTTCCTCTGTTATAGAAAGATTGAAGAATTCCCATAGAAAACACTTCTAAGTGTCAAAGAAGACAAATTTTTTCTATCGAGAAACGTTCTACCTACCAACGAGAATATCCCAATGCAACAATTCAAGTGTGATTTCTTTTTCGTAAATAGTCATCAATAACATCAAAGTTGTCATCACTGTTACATTCAATTTAAATAACTTTTCCTTCCGGAAAATTTAATATTTACCACTCATAGTGTCCTCCACGCGGATTCTTCGATCGGTAACTCGATCGGGGATCGAACGGTTCGAGAATATCGCTAGGCACCGGAAGACACCGCAGGAACTATAACAAAACGACCCGCTCGTCAACATAATTTTCCTCGAACTTTGCATTCGTCGGAATTGGAGGAAGCACACGAACGTTAGTCGTAGAATCCTCCACTCAAACCCCCTTCCCCGCTACTCCGTCATCCACAGGTCTCCCACGGCACCAGCAAACGAACCCGATGATGCCTCGGTTTGATAGAGCTCAGTTTCCTCGGTCAGAGTCGCCGTCAGGCAGCGTCGACAGAGGAAAAGGTGGAACAAGCGAGAGGGCGAGTCCCCTCTCTAGTCGCGTGCCTCGCCCCTTCG